GGGGGAGCGAAGTTCACTTGACTGATAGATTTTATTTTCATCCCCCTTTCCGTCCCTTCCGCGAACCTCCCTTACTTACGTAACCTAAGGGTGCCACCTAAAGGGTTTACTGTTTAAAGCTTCGCGAGCACGGCTCGCTGATAAAAGCAGCTTAACGTCTAATTAAAGCAACCCTTAATCGTAGGGGATGCTCTCGGCCCTGTACGCCCTGTACGCCCTGTACGCCCTGTACGCCAACCAACCCCAAACGCCTGACTAACCTGCCTGATAAATCATGTCGGATACGCATACCGGTGGTTTCCAGAGGCAACGTTGCGTACCTCGGCTCAAGGGATGCAATCGAATGGTACATCTCGGTGTCCAGGATTCGTTAGGTCCGCAAAGGGAGGTCAGCTGAGGTCGGCCGAGGTAACTTGTTACGTAGTAACCTTATCTCAACGGACGAGCCGATCCTCGCTCGAAGATAATAGAAAAGGACGCACGGAAACACGCGAGCCGATCGTTACCCTCCGAATACACCACCTCCCCAACTCCCTACCCATATTAGATCTCTATGCCGACCCGAAAGCACACTTGGACTTCGGTTTAGTAGATATATGTATGGGACCGGTATGGACTTTACTGGGCATTGTGTGAGTATATCTGTAAACGTCCGATTCATCCCTTGTCTGTATCTATCTGTATATACCAGTGTATATATATATATAATATATATGTATATATAACTCCATAAAGGGGAAGCCTTGGCCTAATCCAGCGAGTGTATCCGCCAGGAATCTGAAATGCTACACGGGAATTTCTTGTATTTCCGCTCAGGGCAAGTTTCATCTGTTCCGAAAAATTTCATGAAGATAATACGCAGATCGTTAGGGTGTTCGTCGGAAGACAAAGTCGAATTTTTTTTTTTCGAAATCTTCATCTGGTATAAAAAAGACGTTTTCCTTGTTGACCCGTATGGTACGTTAATGTATGTTAGAGATCTGACCTTTGAACTTCGTCCGAAGCCGCTACTCCGGCCTTGCAGACCGAGGTCAATTTTAGGGGCTGAAGCGAAAGAGATATAGAAGATCCAAAAATGGAATTGACTCCCTCGTGGGGCTGAAAGACGAAATGCTCGGATTCGCTGTGAAGGAAATAGGTCAAGACGCGAAGGTCCCGAATACCGAGGAAGACGGACGGATATTTGCGATTCGAGGAAATTTCTTTTTTCCTTCCCTCATCTTCGTTTTTTTCGTTGCTGCTCGATCCGAAAAAAAGTGGAACGGCGATCCTTTGGGATACTCGGTGGTACATTATTGAGTATCGATTGAAGATGAAAAAAAAATTTGTCACGACAAATACTTTGCTCGTAAATTTCCCTAGTGCATCTCGCGAAATGATTTGCGTAATCAACCAGTGATAAAAATTGTGCTGCAGTGATGGAGAGAGAAGGAAAAATTGTGATTACTTTCACCATGAACTTAACGCGTAGTGAATCTACGGGTATCGAAAGACAACAGCAGCGCCAGTGTGGCAGCTCTTGGCGTTAACGATTAATGCTCCAGAGAATCCGAGTTTCGCGAAAATAATAAACGACGAGCAGTGACGTAAGGATGAATTATTCCATTCGATTGTCATGGCAACCGTTAGATACGGTCTATGAAATTTCCCTGAAGTTCGCGGATTCCAATAGGACCAGGGCACTCTGAGCGATCTATACGCTCCTGGCCTTTTATGTTTCCTTGCTGCTTCTAAGCCCGATACTCCAGCCGATTCTTTCTTATAGCCAATACAATGCCAAGCATTGTAGCTACATATGTACTCGCAAGTTCAACTGTAACATATATGTAGTACATAAACAATACTAAGATATATTTAGTACATATATACACGGTATACAGATACGTATATGATGTACTATATAAGAGAGCGTAAAAGTAGCGGGTAAATATATTACGGAGGGACGCCTTCGACTCTAGAGTGAATTCGCGATGACGTCATCGAACATATATATTACACTAGAATAGGTAGAGACGAAGAAGTTCGTTTGATTTGCGATTGCATATGGGGCTAGAGATACGGTATCTATAGGCACGTGATCGAAATGCATGGAATATCAAAGGGGACTGAAAATACATTTCTGACATTGGCGGCGGACACGAGTCAATGAGGAATTAATAAGTTTCACTTTTCCAAAAATACTCAGTCATTCCGTAAAGGAATAAGGGTGAACTCAACTTTCCCCATTTTCCCATGGCGTTTATGATAAAATTATGGCCAATCGTTCAAAGAACATCGCATGGCACTTTTTCAAGTGAAAATCTCATTAATTTTCCACCACAGTGAAATTCCTTCTGTGTGATGGAAAAAAAATATATATATATATATTTTTTTTTCTACCAGCACCTTCGGCCATTGAAAACCCTCATCGTCAATCCCTTATCGCCATTATGAAAATGATGAATTCTTTTCAAAAATCAAATTCCCATAATTTTCACGATTCCGTATCGACCCCCTCCCACCCTTTTCCACGAGTAGCATAAGGGATGAAAAAGAGTATACTTCGAATTTCAATGACACCCGGTAGGTGTCCCTTTGTTTAGGAAGCAGGGTGCATGGGACCGGAATTACTCTCATCCCCTGAAAATGGATTCTGCAAACGCGCGCGTCACGAGTACGTGGAAGAGCCAGTGACGTAACGATGCATTCAAATGAGAGAATTGGCATTTAGGGATTATTCGTCGATGATCACTCCATCAATAAATTGCTCACTCTGCCACGTGCAACGTAAAAGGGATGCTCATGTGTAATATTATTTTTTTTGTAAATTATTAAAAAAATAAAAAACATTACTTATGCGTATCCCTAACAAGTACGTAGATCATCAGTAGAGAAGTCGAAAGAAAATTTGCAAATTTAATTAATAGAACGAACTTCACATGCAACATATACATATACCATAACGTGATTACGTAAAGTGAACGAAAAAAGCAGATAAAAATTTTGGGGTTTTTAAATATTACAGCATCCAGATAACAGGGTCAGGAGTCATGGCGAATAGTAGATATGAATCTACGGAGTCTAAAAAAAGAAAAAGGATGATGCAAATAAAGATAAAAAGTTGCGGTTGATTCCTATCGCGGCAAAAGAATTAGGTACCAGAATCATGAGCACTGAGAGAATTCCCTAGAACTAGGGAGAAAATTACGACCCCCCAATATTATCTAGGCCCTACATCAAACGCATTATTCAGCGCCTAATTGTTATTTACTGAAAAATGTTGAAGCATCTGTCTGCGTAGGATTACCCGGAACAAGGGTACAAACTGAAGTCAGCCGATCTACCAGCTGTGCAAAAGCCAGCTTCAGACTGTACGTCTATCTGGAATAACTCGATAGCCGTAAAGTCAGTCCACGAGTAAAATAGCTTTCGGAGGGGCCATCTTCCCATGACTTTCAAAGTCAATGAGTCCCCTAGACACGATCCACTACTCCTGGAACGGCTTTACATGATACGAGCATATAGGACATTTACAAAAAATATACAAATAAACTATTGAATTTGGAAAATTAGGAACGTAAAGAAGTAACGAGGAATCGATTAAACTTTTTGTCTCAACGAATATCAAGCAGACTCGAACAAGCAGTAGATTTCACACAATCCTTTCCCCTGCCCGCAGTTCACTTCCACTACAGGTGTGCTGTGCGCCAGACTGTCCATTTCCTTATTTATGTTTTAGTATTTTTGTATCTTCAAAATAAAAGCCCGTAAACGTTACTCTTCGTACGAGAGCAATCGCCCCTATATATCTTTCAGGGATTTCCCCATATTTTAGCACAGCTATTGAAAGAGGATCGTTAGCATTTGGGGGGACAGGGTAGTGAGAGGTGCCAAGGTGTACATATCTACCTGCCATACCCAGTGGATCGTTACTCGTATAAATCACATGGGATGAGTAGCAACCAGCATCTACACCACCCCCGTAGCTCAGGGCTGTATCTATGGCAGAAGAGACGCGGGGACCGTGGGGCGCGTGACTTTGATAATGGCGAATTGAATTGGACGGATAAATATTAGCGATCGGGGGTGAAATAAAAAAAATACGGGTGACCCCTCAGTCAGGGTTGAACCGGGTAGCTGGACGAGTTTGTAACTTTAGGGCGAGAGTTTCGTAGGACGGCTGAGTTTAATAAATATCTGGACCCGCTGGAACCGCGCGGTGAGAACGAGTGCGAGTGAGACAGAGCGTGTGTACGTAAGAGCACGCGAGAGAGAGAGAGAGAGAGAGAGAGAGAGAGAGAGAGAGAGAACACCCAACTAAATCCCTGCTGACATAAAATCAATGTACTACACCTTCGGAAACATTAATTCAGAGCGACTTGACAGGTTAAACATAGGACAGAAGTTATTTCGCTACTGACGACGTCACATTGACTACCCTCCTCTAGCAGCTGATTTACTTTTTTTTTTTTAACCTGTTGGTACCTCCCGTCACTTCCGGCTTGTTACGAATTTCTACGTGTCAGCTCGGTAGGTCATTTTTATTCATCATTCGCCACTCGCCGACCTTGCCCCTACGTCGTTACCTTGATTGGTCATTCCCTGAGACGAAAGGTTCAAGCATATATGTGTGGTTAAGGTGAATTTTCACGAAATAAGCATTTTCAAGTGTGCGTGTCACATATGACATAACGACTCACGGAAGGACTATATTTACTAACTATTGAGTTTACCGTATACAGGAAAGCACCTTATACAATTATTTGGCTCGTCTCTTTCGCACTTCGGATGTGCGGGGTTGGTCAGTCTGGAAGGTGAGTCACGTGTCAAGAACTGCAGCAGTTGGGAGTTTATAATTCACGTGGGTCAAATCCAAGTCGAATAGGTGTGAAGGACCATGCAATCAGTTTCCAAATTAGATAAGCGATTTTCAAAAATGCATATCGTGGGGTCGTATGGCGATTATGCAACGCTGACCACGTGGAGGACTGCGTTTCATAAGGGGCGAGACTGTTGGTCTGACGCAAGGATACGGTATCGGCATCTTGATCACCGAGCACGTGGAGAATTGACTTGATTAAAATAAACAGAAGGCAATGTTTTATTAATGTTTCACGCAGGCAGATAATTTCGAGATCCATCAGGGAAAATCTGAAGTTTACGGGATGGATCGACAAGTGATCTAAGAATGATCTTTTTTTTACAGTGAATGTAAGATCGAATCTGTGATCTGTTAATGATCCGAATTTTGTTAGCAGATTTTTATAGTATGTTGCATTTTAATTATGAGTCACGATGTAACGTATAGTTTACACTATGCGAACACGTCATCTTACCTAGCTAATTGGCTAGCTAATTGGCTAGCTAATTGAAGTCACCTGTTGATAATGAACGCGTCGATAACGAGAAAAACGTTCTCGAACTATGAACACTCGAGTTTGAATTTGCTATTTTTGTCTGGACTTGAGGAATTTTTGACATTGACGGTACAGCTCCATCCTGTTTAGGCTGTTACATTTTTTTTTTTTTTTTTTTTCATCTAGTACGTAATAATATGGGATGTTTCTTTTCTCCACTTTTCGTCCGAAAAAGTTTGCCCAATCTCATGTTCGATCTCTTCACGGTTCACCCGACGCCGATGTTGGAAGATCAAAGGGAGTCACGACTTTCCGTCTGGCTTCGTTCTCTCTTGAAATTCCGCTCGGTCGCAATGTGGGAAAAAGAAAAGATTCGTTTTTCACTGTGGCAAAGAACACGTGCAAAAAATATACTTGCATAATGGATGCGAAATATTAAAGGGGGAGAAAAAGAAAAAGGTAGATAAATTAACGCCGAGAGACGACTGCCCGTCACGAACCTCTTTTCATACTCTCTGCACCGTGTAAAAGCTTAAGGAAAAGAGACTGTGAAATTGCTTGGACGTAATAATAATTAAAGGATCGACTCGATGGGGAAAAAAATGATTTCACGAGGGCATCTTCGCCAACTTCAAAATAAGAATAAACCTCGGTTAGCCCTTTTCCTTCTTCTCGTTCGCAACGAAAATATTTCGCAAGGGAATTCGAAGCGGTCAAAGATTTTTTCGGTATTTTTCGAACATTTTTTTTCAATTTCATAAGAAAATTCGACACACGTCGCGTACCGTTTTTTACCTCTGGAGGCAATCAGCACTTCGCACGTACGTCATATCTACAAGTCATAATTTTTTCTCCTCTAATTTATCATCTTTGTTTATCTTCGTTACAGAAATAGTTCTGCACTCTCTCTGTCTCTCTCTATATATAAATATACAGATATATATATTATTCTTTTATTTTCTTTTTTGTTTTTCGCGTTCATTCGAGAAAATATTAAACGATCGCCAATCGCCTTGGGGGAGTTTTTAAAATTGCGTGAAAAATCGATTTCCTCCAGCGCGAAAGATAATCTCGTTTAAAAAAAAATTTAATTCGCTTACCTTTTCTATATATTTCATTCTTTTTTGAGAAAACACGAAATTCAATTTTCTCATTCGAGCTACCAGAGATTACCGTGTGGCTACCAGAGAAATAGCGAAACTGAGGAATGTAATATTCGATCGGACTGTAACGTCTTAGAAGTAATATTGATTTCCAATGAATCAATTAAGAAAAGGAGGGGAGGGGGTCAAATGAAACTAATTGATCAAGAATATATATCCCCCCTCGAAATGTATTTCGAAGAAGTTTTTAAAAATTTTGAAAAAACAAATGGAACATTTCTCGAGTTGAATGAATAATCAGCAACGTACTAGAATCTCGATATAATAATATATTCAATGAATTAATTACAGGCCAATCGGCTAACGAACAGTCTTATAGACTTATTTTTGGAAATTCATCAATGAACAATGGATCGTTACCAGGAACCCTTCGCAGGCATATGATCGATCCTGGTAAATAAATTGAAATAACATGTAATTACAGGTTATTTGAATTGTCCGAATAAAAATCAATATTATTCACTATGCATTTATCCATTTTTTATTTTCTTAACGTACAAGTCATATTTCGGACGAAATTAATGTAAAATCAAAATTCTACACCGCTCTCTTACGCAATGACAGATAAACACGAGTGACTTACCAATTTTGAAAAATCCGAAGTCGAAAAAACTCGCAGTGTTTATGGCTGCACAGGACGAACTGAACGCTCAACCAGAATCAACTGATCTGCCGAGGTTCCTTCTGCTCGACTTCGGCGCCCTGGTCGCATTTCGAGCGGCGTCAGCCGCCGTCGCGAAGCGTCGGCCGCGCAATCTCACAAGAGAATCCGAGGCAGCTAGGGAAACGCAGAGAATGGCTCTAGTGAATTCGAATTATTAATCTGCGAGGTTGAGTTAAGATAAAGACAGGATTAAAATAGGACAAGCCATCGTAACGCAAACTATACGGTACGGAGAAACGTAGAGGAAAAACTTTTGAAACAAAGTGTACAACGTGCCATACGACTCTCGGTACATGTGGCCGTACAAAAATCCATAAAATCCGCCGAAACGACGTGCGTGAAAGTGGGGAAAAAAAAAGAGAGAAACAAATAGGAGAAACAAAAACAGCAAAATCAGCGAGTACGAAAATATATATCGAAATTTCAGGAAACTGATATGCAGGAATCAGATAGGCCAACAGGTAAAATTATAAAATGAATGGACGAGGGAAAAAGATTTTCCAACCGATCGATCGATCGTACATAATTGTCGATCGATGTGTGACGTCAGAGGCGGACTAATGTCTCGAAAGGCTCGTTTATAATGCACCTCGGGTGCTGACGTTTACGGATCGTTACTGTGCCAGCGACTTTTACGGTCGAGAGGAATGACTAGGATTTTTTTTTTTTTTTTCAGGAAAAGCAGAAATCGTTTAATTCCGTGAAAGGGCGCGAGTTAGCACTGTATGAACAGATTGATGATTTTTAATATTTTTTCTTAATTCTTGTCGGTACCACTGATAACATTTTTTTAGAAAATTATCGGACGCTTTTTGGAATACACACTGTACGCCTTTATTCTGTCAGTGACCGAACGAACGTACCGTCTGAAGTTAGCGTCTTCATTTGACTTCTATGGTAAAACGACCATATGGAATAACCATATACATGAATAAGAATTAATGAATGACAAGTGGTTGATATTTACGTGTCTAATAAAGTTGATCAATAAAGCAATAATATTCTGAATGGATGTTATTTCTTTTGTAGGTTAAGTACAAGTAAGGATTTCCGTGTAACACGATCGGTATACTATCCGTTCACGTGACGCGGAGGAAGGCGGCGAGTGTACATTAAAAATATTATGTAGTGCTTGGGTCAATTAATTGGTCAGAGTATGCCAGTTAGTTTCATTATGTTGCCTCCATCTTCGTGGCTTTCACACAATGGGTTGACTCTTGTAGCATTGGGGCCAGTAGGCCTGTCCAGCCGACTAGAGACCCTTTATTGCACCGAGTATCAGAATTCCGGGCAACGTATAAATAATAAATTTTGAAAAAAAAATTCAAGAATGCCTTCAGTATGAAAAATCTAAATGAGATGTTAAATCTTTTTCTATAATAAGTTTTTTTATAAAAAATCCCCCCCCCCCCC